GTGGTGGGTTCAAACCCAGCCCTGGCCAAAAACTGCAAATAAATAAATAAAAAATAAGTAAATGATAAAATTCCTTTCCAATACCAAAAATGAGTCCTTAAACATAAACAAATAAAAATTTGAATTAAAAAATTAAAAAGATGTTCTGAGGTTTAAACTTTTAGAAAAAAACATGGGTGGGAATTATATGTGGTAGCATATTGTACAGGGCAAAATATGCTTCTTCAAAAATGACTATGCCCCGAGAAGTAGGAACAGCCTCCAGATGACATCATAAATAGCAAAGACTGTCAGGGTGTTAAGCAGGGAATTGGGACAGAGATAGTGGTCCCAGCTTTTGAGTTCTATCTGTAATATTTTCATTTTTTTTAATGTGGACAATGTTTTTCTGTTTAATAGAAATATTGTTGTAAGAAATACATTATAGGTGGAATGAGGTTAGGGCTCCATCTCAGGAATTGTCCACAGAAAAATAAATAACAGCCTCTATTGATGCAGGAAGCACAGGCATCCCATATGGCCCCCTCGGGGCTTCTCTCACCTCTGCCCACACTCGGGGGGGAGGGGGGGAACTAGGATGACACACATTCGCAGCCATTGGTCCAGTCTTTTAAGAAATGTGTTCACTTCTGCCATTGTTTTAATTTTCTGTACCTCCCAGGAAATACATCTGGTTCTCTCTATTTTAGATGAGTCTGCTTTTGAGAGTCTACTGTAAACTCTTGTTTTTGCCAGCTACAGCGGGGGAGGAAGTTCAGTTGTGAACCAATATTTTAGGAAACCCCTTCTCACCACTTGTGAGGATAAAGCTAGTGATGTCTTTGTTTTAATTAATATTGTTTTGTAAGAATGCCACAAGAAGCCCGGGTTTGGCTCGGCACCTGTGGCTCAAGTGGCTAAGGCACTAGCCACGTACACCCAAGGTGGCGGGTTCAAATCCAGCCCAGGCCCACCAAATACCAAACAACAATGATGGCTGCAACCAAAAAATAGCTGGGCATTGTGGCAGGTGCCTGTGGTCCCACCTACTTGGGAGGCTGAGGCAGGAGACTCGCTTGAGCCCAGGAGTGGGAGGTTGCTGTGAGCTGAGATGCCACAGCACTCTACCCAGGGGGACAGCTTGAGGCTCCTGTCTCACAAAAAAAAAAAAAAAAAGAAGCCTGGGTTTAACATTACCACCCCCAGTACCACCACCACCATCTTCATTATTTAATAATGGAGCAAAATTTTTGGATAAGGGCACAGACTTCAGGATCACATGGATCTTCGTGTGGCACCTGCTTTCCACACTTGCTAGACATTACTTTGGGCAAATCATATGATCTATTGGGTCTTTATTGTTTTCATTGATAAAATAAGGATGATACTATCATTAAGGATCAATTGACATAGTTGTTTGTTATAACCCCCACAGTCCTCTATATGATGAGCTCACAGATAAGGGATGATACATATATTTGAAATAGTACAATTTTTGCTATTAAGACAACGTACAGTGTGGAGAGAATGGGATACAGCAGTGCTCTGGGTAAAGCTTCTCAAGGGTAAAGTTCTCACTGGGCAGGTGCAACATTCCCTAGCAGTTAAGATGCATGCTCTGGAATCGAGTCTTACTGCCTGCTGGCTGTGTGGCCTTAAATAAATCAACCTATTTGTACTTTGGCCCCTTCATTTTGTAACAGAATACAATTTATAAAGTACTGCAGCAAGGGCTTATTTGTTTTGCTTGTTCTGCATGACAACATTCAGAGGCAGGTGCAGTCACCGCCCCGAAGTGCGGGTGAAGAGACTGAGGCGCAGTGCTTTGGTTTAACTTGCCCTGGGCTGCAGCTAGCAAGTGACAGAACCAGCGTATGCCCTGAGAATGTCGGCTTCCAGAGCCCCCATTTTTTTCAACCTTTATGTGTGTTACCAACTTGCTAAGAGGACTGAGATAAGTAAGTGAGATAGACTTAAGATATTCTTGCATAATTAAATGGGGTAAATAGTTCAACCCTGATAAGATGCTTAAAGGAGTAAATGAACTGAGAGGACAAGTCAGTGTTCCCGCTTCACGATAGTCACCCAGTGAACGTGAGCCCTGAGAGGTTATTATGAAGCACTCCTCATCCAAGGTCTCCCAAAAGTTGTGTCAATGCCTTGAACCTATATTCATTTGAAATGCACAATTTGTGGTTGTTGCTTTGTTTTAAACCAAAGATGGAGATTTCCATGCTGGGGGATAGCTAAGCCTAGTTTAGTTTCTTAAACATCCGCAGTGAGTTCCACTGGCTTCTTAAAAAACATGAGCCCTCTGAACCAGAGCACATTATGGGCCAGTAGGCGACCAAGGAAGCGCCCACCCAGGTCCCCACTAATGCCTCTCATATCTGCCCTCTGAAGAAACCCCCGGGGCAAAAGAACTCAGAACACAAACTCACACGTACCTTTTCAGACTAAGCTTTTATTTTTTTGATATTACAAACCAGTTTTCTTTATTCACAAACCACTGTAAGTGATATAAACACTAATTTCTAAAGACAGATATACACATTTTCTGGGTTTGCAGATTGCATGATGTGTGAGTTAAGAAGTCACTATATGCCACACATGATATTAATCTTTTTTCCATAATTCATAATAGCAATAGTTATTTAGATAAATGAAAACATTCCAAATAAATACTGTTTAAAAAAATCCAAAATGTTTGTTTACATTTCTGACATACATTTTAAAATGACTTATTGGCATCTTGGAGGAGTGCCTAGACAAAAGATTCTGCAACATCGGATGGCACCCACTTGCTCTAAATGATTTTATTAAAACTACATACAGTCATGGGGGAAAGTACAGCTCATTGGTGAAAATCAAAACCGCAAATGAATTTTACTTTAACCAACACAGTAAGAATTCTATGTTTGTGATTCCAAACACAATGTAAATTCGAAATCTGAGGCAATTGAGAGAAATCTATATATTCTCCCCAGCCACCTGTTCCTACCCTTCTTTTCTCCCCTCTGGAGTGGGATGCCATGACCTTTTAATAACTTATTATATATTTTTTTATTTTAAGAACATCAGCCAGGCACCCACTGTCATAACATCGTTTTCCAGGTGGGGGAATGAGAATGTCTTTACTGATGCTATAAAACACCCCCTAGCCCCTCCCCTTTCCCACCCAAATAAGTTTGGTGAAAAGAACATTTTATATGCTTCTGGCTTCTAAGCAGTTTTTTTCCCCACGACATTTTCTCTTTTTAAGAGAACTATAATCTGTCTTAGATATCGAAGCTACAGAAACTTTGTTTTCAAATCTTGTGAAACTTTATTGATGGTTTAATAGCCAACTGATCTTACGGCATGCACGTAGGAAGACAAGAGAAAGCTGGATCACAAACACTTTTTTTTTTTTTTCAGTTTTGTTTGGTTTTGTTTTAAAGCAGAGTTGTTACAGCGGATTGGCGGGTTCACAGCGGTGAGTTGATAACTTACTAAAGTGTCAAGCCACAGGGCCTGCACTGTACACAGGAGGGTTAAACTACGGCAACAAACCTACTCGGGGACAGCTTGCTGCTGTTTTTTTTTAATTTAAATACAAAAACAGGAAGACCCGTGACAGATACCCCAACTTAGGTTAACTTGTAAACAGGACAACATGGAAAGAGTTCAAACAGAAGTCGTACAGACAAACTGCAATTTTTCGGTTGTGTTGCAATGGAGGGGCCTGGGAGACGGTGCAGGGGGCTTTGTTCTTGGGGGATGATGAGGGTGGATCTATGGTTTGTTTTTTTCTTTTTTTGCTTCCTTCTGACAAATGTCCTGGGCCTCGGAGATGAAGCTAAAGATAGTAGTTTGAGATAGTCCCTGGGCCTGGGGGAGAGGTGGGAGGGCAGGCTCTCACAGACTGAAAAATTGCAGATTGCTCACACAACGCAGTCATGTTTCAAAAAGTACCAAGCTGATGAAAATACCATGATTATCTCTACTCAATGGTTGCAATACTTGTAAAATGCTTCTATAAATCCGAATATGATTATCATGTAATTCCATAAAAATTATACGTCTGTCTCTAACAGTTGTTCTACTAGGCTAAAACTAAAGCTTCATAGACTGTTTCTAGAACTTAACAACTCCACTGCACAGATGTAAATTTTATACATTTTTTTTTAACTGGTACAAAGAATTTAAGTTTTTATTACTTTCTTTTTTTTGGAAAAAAAGAAAAAAATAGAAACAGTGCTTTTTATCACCTTTTTATTAATGTTATTTTTTTTCCCTCCCATAATATAAAAGTCAGCAATGATATCAATAATTTATTATACTGGAAGAAATATAAAAAGAATGCTTGTTGATGGCCTAACTAGCAGGTATTTTTTTTTGTTATTTTTTTTTCTTTTCTTTTTTTTTTTTTTCGCCTAAATAACTAGCAGCTGGTTAAGAAGCTGAATACTGCCGGGTGGAATGGTTTAAAGGGTGGGTTTGCACAGCCTCCTTCTGCTCAGTTCCACACGTGCTACGAAAAGCACCCCCTTGAACAGCATAACCTTTGGCTTGAACTGGCAATGAGTAACTTAGAACCATTGATACGTGATTGTTGGTGCAGTGGGTCGTCTAGATTCATCAGTTACTACATTTGTTTTTCTTTCAGCCAAACCCCAATTCCAACCCCCTAAGCCCCTCCCAACCTCCCCGTTCACAAAATAAAATAATGTAAGATGCAGAGAAAAATGACTACTGTAGTCACACTCTTCCCAAACAGCTGATAACCCCAGTAGCTTAATATTCAGCATATATAATTCATTTACATAATATAGCACTCTGGATATGGCCCTAAACCAGTTTTTATTTATATCTAGCGTCTCTCTAGATCAACCACAAAAAAACTCCTACAGCCAGCAACCAAACTACGGAACCTTCAGAAATGAAAGGACCCACAATATTAAAATACACAGAACAAAATATCTGAGGTATAAGATAAAAAATGTAATTTTTTTCCTCTTTTTATTTATTTTGTATTTTTTAGAGTTGCTAAAATGATGCACTACTGCATGTATTGCAACACTCAGGCCTCGGAAAGCTTCCTTTCTCCCCACATTGGAAGGTTTTTATGGTTTTGTCATTTAGTATGGAGCAAAACGGTTGTATCCCCCTCGGTATATACTAGCCTGCAATGAAGAAAGAACGAGACCCACATCATCAGCATGGCTCCTAGTCTTGGCATCAGTCAAAGGTGCAAAAGCATTCTGAAACAAAGCAATTTGAGGGGTGTGTTTTTTACATTTTCCTTTTAGAACACGTGGATCATCAAAAAGACTAATGTGTAAAATAGATACTCAAAACCAACCAACATGGAGGCACCCCCTACCCATCCCGGGTCATTCTCTGAGCACTGAAGACAGGGCCAGTCCTGAACTTCCCTGATAACTCCTTTTAAAGCAGCACACTCCCTGTCAAACTCAATCCCGTAGCTAAGAGGACTCCGACCCAAACTGGACGATGCAAAGATTTGCACTGTCTCGCTTTTGTTGGTTTGTTTCTTGGATGGATTAATTAATCCTATGTTCCCTCGGGGGGAAAGCTCACTCTACACTCAGGTTGAATTTGGGCAATGCATTGGCCGTAGGAGTTCAACTGTCCTTCCCAACACATTCCTCAAGTGGACAAGGTGTTGAAGCGGAGTTGCCGAAGGCAAACTCCGGATGAAAATTCACATCTACGTCTTACTTGACTTGGCTCAGTGGTCTGCATGGGATCTGATCTCAAGAGGGGAGTTGTATAGATGAACTGCTTGATGGAACTAAGCGTTGTGCAAAACGGTATGTTTCTGAATCATCGCTGAATTTGTATGACCAAGCTCCAGTGAATTATCTGGCCAGGGCGTTAAATGGCTATGATACGGCACTTGACTCTTTCCTTTTTATTTTTTTTTGTTTTTCTAAAAGTATTGGCGATTCAAATGAATGCCTATGAGGATTTTTTTTTTAGGATAAGGACTGATATTCTTGATCCAAGCAGAAAACTGCATGCCAAAGCTTTGTAATGATTGCATACGCTTCCACGTGATGGGCACGGCTTACTGTACTCAAGAGTTTTAGTGCATAGAAGTTTGAACAAGTACAGGCAAATTCACCCCACCCTTACCTCCCAGTTTTGCCCTCCCCCCTCCCTTCCCCAAACAAAAACCCAGACTCCCCCCCAAAAAAAACCAAAAGACAACCCCCAAACCCAGCTGATTCCTTCTAATTTCTTAGGTACTAGGTACACACACAAAGTGTGCCCCTTTCTCTATTTTCTTTCCTGGGCGACTATGACTTTAAACATGAATTGTAATAGGGGAGGAGAGGCAGTCAGATTCTCAGCTGCCTGACAGCAGAGGCCTGGAAGAGTGCAGCTTAGCTCCTCTGAAGTCTGTGCTGGGGCTGGAACCTTGGGGCTATGTGAATGAGCAGCAAGGGAGGGAAAAAAAAAAGAAAAAAAAAGTTCTGCATTGACACTGCATTCTGTTAGTGATGGATTTAATTATCAAAATGACTAATTATTCCATTAAGGTAAGTGCTCCGCTAGGTGAGACTTGCAAAATTAGAAATATAATAACTTACATGCACTACATTGCCAAGAAATTAAGACATTTATCAAGTTTACTGGGAGGATTAATGTGGCATTTTAGCTGCTGTTAGCACAAGAGACAAATTCAATTAAGGGAAAGTGAGAGGACGTCAACCGTCAACCCACACTGAGGTCCCAGCTGGGGAAAGGGAAGGGCGGCAGGAAGAACTGAGGACAGGAAGGAGCCGGTACTCACCATGGCACCAACGCCGTAGGTGGGGGCTGGAGCAAGTGCGTGGTGGTAGGGGTCGGCAGCATAAACTCGTCCGTAACTGGAAGGAAAACAGAGGTGAAGACTGATCCATAATATGCAATTATAAAGTAATGATAAAAATCAGAACATTCAAAATGCCAGGACAGTGTGGAGGGGGCCCTATTGGTCTTGAAATGAGAAACGGGAGAATATTTCATCTGTGCACAATGCATTTTTTTAATCCATTTAACATGTCTGGTTAAAGTCATATGTTTCACACACACACACACACACACACACCCTTTCCACCATAATGCTGTTTCTACACTTCTAGACTGTGCTAGGCAAAAAGAAATGACTTGAAATTGTGGTCTTAAGAAGCCCAGTGCCCCTGTCCCCCGAGGACATATTAATACTCCAGTGAAATTCCCTTTTTCTCCTGATTTAGCTGTCATCAATCAAGTGAGATAGAATGAATCAGAAAGGGTGAAGTGGTCTTCTGTGTAGGCCATATCCAATGTCTTAGAACGGGAAAGCATAGGTCTATTTGTGATCATGGTATCTCCCCTGCCAAGTAAGTATCATAGGTCTATTTGAATGGAAATACCCTTGAGGGTCTGTGGGACACCCCCCTCTACCCTCAGCCCCATTCGAGAGTTGATTTGATTTTGAGCCCTATTACCCCAGAACTTCTATCTCATCCGTCTATGGACAGGTTCTGGGAAAGGAGACATTTGCAATAAGTATATCTTAATGGCATTTACTCCTGTTGGGTTTTTCTGTCTCTGACCTCCTCCTCCCTCCACTGCCATGGCTTCCAGCACGGGCTTTAAAAGATAAACATGAACACGAGATGGAAACCAGATGCCTCGGGTGCCTACTGAATGTCTGCAAGTGAACGCTGCCATAAACCAGGGTTCAGAGGTGAAGTCACTTGCTCAAGTTCACGCAGCCAATTGAAGAGCTGACCCTTCAATCTCTCTGAGAAGCTTGCATGCGAGTTCCGGCAGCGTCCTGTGCCTGGTGCTTCTGTGACCCGCCAGATATTTTCTTGGAGATTGTTTGAACAGGGCTGTGTTGATATGGATCAAATCTGAGAGGCTATCTTAGGTCAGGTTTCCTGGAAGTTAAGCTGGAAATGGAGAATCCTGTGCAAGTGACTTACTGAAGAGGGGCTCTCAGAAGGACAGAAGCAAGCAGGTCACAACAAAGAAAGGGAAGAAGATGGGCAAGGGTTTCTCTGAGCTGCACAGCGTCCACATCCTGACTCTGGGCATCTCATGCCAGAGTCGGTGGCGCCTGGAGGCAAATGGGTTGGCTTTTTAATGCCTAGGTAAGTGAAGCATTATGTTAACTGAGGGTGGGAGAAGCACCACTGAGTTGAAGGGGCTTCCTTTGGCAGAGGGCAATTTTCTGGAGAAGGGAGCAGCTATTCTCCTTTAGCAACCTGCACTCACAACGGCTGGGCGATGAACGCACCAGCTGCTCTGCGGGATCTGAGTGGGTTTTCAACAGCTCTGGACTCGTTGCCTTTTCTTTTTTTTTTTTTTTTTTTTAAAGAATGGAGGAACAAGGCAGGAAGAAATGGTTTGCACTGTCAACTTTGAGCTCACCTCTCATCTCTTAGGGTCCAATGTGTCCTTGCCTTCCCTTCTCTCTCCTCCATTTTCCTTCCAATCTCCTTTTTGTCGGGGGTAGATGAACACATATTGGAGTGGTCAGTCTGGGGTGCTCAGGGAAGGTGAGGGAAGATGGGAGAAGGACCTTCTAACTCAGACTCCAAACTATACCCCAGATGGAAAAAAATGATTATACCAAACTCGCATTGGGCGTGTCCTAATTCCCAAGCCTGTTTCAAAGTGGCGCTGAGCTCAAATACTGGGGCTTTTAGCCTCAGCCTGGTGTTCTCTTGATCCTCATGCAGAAACAAGAATGGATGTTTCTCTTGTGAGGCAAATTTCTCAGCTAAAGTAACAAATAGTCATCCCCATCTTGCTTTTCATTTTTGGGGTACCCTCCGGTCCTTCTGCTCATCACAAATGGCCCTTAACAAAAGATTATTCCCTTTATGAGGAACAAAGAGAAACATACGTAGAGCCCAGGCAGAGGGGCAGAGGGTGTGTCAAGACAAGACTGATAAAGGTTTTGAACAAACAACAAATAAGCAGAGGTCACGCAGAAGACCTGGGCCTCTGCTCACATAACTGGAGGTAGCTCCTACGAGGGGTGAAAGGAAATGGTATACACGTCGGCACTGATCTTCACTTCATGAGAAAATAGTCACCGGTCTAGACAAAAACCCATTAACAGGGTGATCCACTTTCATTTGGCAAAGACGGTTGTATAAATAGGACAGAGACTTCAAGGGAAAGCTGAAAATCCTTGGGAATTTAATAAGCAGGGTGCTCCTTCAGAATGAGCGTGAAGATGCAAATTCAGGACAATTTTTTTTTTTAATTTGGAAACTGGTTTTACCATGGCAATAATTTCCTCTTTTGGGGTTACAACATATTGGACATCTGAAGGTATTTAATGAAAACACAGCCCCATCCCTTCCTAAGGCACACCGAAATGGGACCTCCTCCTTGGGCATGGTTTCAACCTTTATGGAAAGCCCAAGGTAACAATTTGGCAGTATTCTCTTGCAAGGCAGGAGAAAAATACAGCAGCACTGAACTATTCTTCACAAATGAGCGGGCTCCTTTTCTCCTCAGGGTGACCTCTACCTTCAGAATCCGATGGTTTTATTATGATTAATAAATTTCATTTCCACTAGAGGAAAAGGGACCATGTCAGCTCAAACTGAAAGCAAGGAGGCTTCTTTTCAAATGCTAATTTCTAAACACGCCCTTGTGTGACACTACCATTATAGACACAAGGTTATTAGGGGAGATGTGGACTTGAGCACTACTTTTGCAGCAGAAATGCCAGGCCCGTCAGCAATCTCATGTCCTCAGAGTTGGCTGGGCACAGCCCAAAGACAGAACAGTTGATTCCCAGGGACCTCGACGGGAGTGATGGCTAAATGTCTTGCAACTGCCATTGCCAGGACCTGACCTGGTCATGCTCCACGCCAGCCCTCCCTAGCCAAGGTGGGCAGAGCTAGAGACAGGTTGTGATGCTATATCCCTACATCCCATCCATTGGCAATTTCGGAGGAAATCTTAAATGTGTCCACGTCAATCCACATACACTACTGCCCTAATTATAAGCCACTAGTAGTTCATCAAAATCAAGTTAACATCCTTAAGTCTCATTCTCTTTGTCCAACTCTAACCCCTTCAAACCAATAGCCATTTACATTCATCAAATCTGTCAAGTCTGTCCCATCGACTTACTCATCTGTGTCTTTATCTCAGTATAAATCTTATATAAAGTTTAATCCTGTTGCTTCCATGATTAAAATCCTTCAATGGTTTTCTCTTGATCTTAGAATAAAATCCAAACTTTCATGAGTCGTCTCCGCCCCCTCTCTCAATCCACATCTTTCTCCCCATACCCCGTAGTCCAGGCACAGCCCTCGCCAGCACACGGTGTCCCAACAGTCACCACACATAGGGAAAGTGGGAAATTGTGGCTAAATGTAAAATTTTATAATGGATATTTTGGAAATGAAGGTACAAAAATCTTCTTTGCATAGTAGCCATCTTTCTACACACACACACACACACACACACACACACGTCTTCTCTCCCACTCACAGTGAACACATTCCAAGATAATATTGTTATACAATTTTCCCTGGGTATGGAGAATTCTGGAACACTCTGTAGTTCTTGGACACAGATGCAAAAGTGTTCTCATGGTCCTGCACTGCTCACCTCCACCCGAACTATCTCCTTTCATCCTTTATGTTTTAGATCAAGTGTCACCTCCCTACAATGTCTCCTTCTCTGACTACCCTTTTATTTTTAATTTTTTTTGGGGGGGGTCAGAGTCTCATTTAGTCCCCCTCGGTAGAGTGTAATAGTTCACAGCAACCTCAAACTCTTGGGCTCAAGAGATCCTCTTGTTTCAGCCTCCTAGGTAGCTGGGACTACAGGCACCCTCCACAATGCCTGGCTCAGTTTTTTAATTTCTATTTTTAGTAGACAATGTCTCGATTTTGCCCAGGCTGGTGTAGAATTTCTAAGCTCAAGCAATCCACTTGCCTTGGCCTCTCAGAGTGTTGGGAACACAGGTGTGAGCCACCGCACCCGGCCAGCCACCCTTGCTTTAAGGGAGTTCTCTAACCCCGTCTCTTCACATGGCAAATCTTTAATACTTTTGCTTCCTTATCTTTCTATCTATTTACCTCTCCCACTCCTGGACTGAGAGCCTCATGGGGGCTGTGTCTGCTTTAGCTCATCCCTGGTGTCTAGCACAACCCCTGCCACGGTACAGGTAGAGAGGCGGCAGGCTGGAGGCCTCGCAGAGGAGAAGAGGGGGGCTTGGGAAGACGCCCACACCTGTCATCATGATCCCACCCCTAGACTCTGTCAGCAGAAAGACTTTCTCAGCTACACTTTCTGATGATTCTAGGTCGGCTGCACCCATACACATGCAAAACCCTGCAAGATGCTCAGAAGGAAGTTTTTGAGAAACACAGAGTGTATCATTGATATATCCCCCGAGGGTTCAAAAAATCCCGGCCAAATCGCCATAAAGCTCATCAAAACTTTAGGGAAAAAGTAAATAAGCAAAGAAATAAAAGCTAACTGCTTTGCTGGCCAGTCTGCTATGGCTTGTAACTGTCATGAGAACGCTTTTCGACCTCAGCAACGAGTTTAAAATCAGAATGTAACCAGAGGCCCCTGGGAGGGCTGAGTGCTTGGGACAAGAAGATCCAGGTGTGAGTTGTGCCTTTACAATGTCCTTGCCCCTGTGTGTCAGGCAAGTCGCCCTCTCTGAGCCTCAAATCCCTCATTGTTAAAAATAGTCACCCTTCTATCTGAGCCCTACGTGTTCTAGATTGAGTGTGTGAAAGGAAACCACATTTTAAAGCCATCTACAGATACAGGAGATGATGATACAATGCTTCTGACATTGCTTTTCACAAACTAATCTCTCACTCCTGCCCAGACTTTGGGTCTGCAGAAG